CTGAGATTTCATCGCCTTTTACTGGCTCCTATATCTACAAATCTGCTGTGCAACCCTCTGTGTGTGCGTGTGATCATTTGAAAAACCCTGGTGGAGGGAATTAAGGCTGGTGGGGGACATAATCCAAGGTGTTGCTTTTGATTCACGACTCAGCCATTCACCTGTGTGTACGCGATTTAAATATGTTACCATGTTCATACAATATAAGTTACATTGGTAATATTATTGGTGATTCAGAAATGCTGCTCAGAGTTACCCGTTCATTCATTTATAATGTGGACAATAAACCTATAGCCAGTAGCCCCTTTTAAATCCTATTTAAAACTACAATAACACAAGATGTTGTGTAGAATTCAGATAATAAGTAGGTGTGTGCGATGGTCTGCACCTGCACGTGCGCGTGCTCCTTATTTAGCACAATTTTAAAGAGCCCAATAAGCAGCCCTCGTAACACTGCATCCATGCGTCCGTTATTCTTTAACTCGTCCCCCGGCCCCTCGGCGTGGCTGGGGGGGCTTGCGTCCACCGGTAACAGTCCGGTGAGCTGACCCAGAGCACGAGCTCACGGCGCCGTGAAGGACGCAGCCAGCCGGCTTGCGCTACTCTGAAAGGAACTTGGGAAACACACACGCGCACACAAAAAGCACAAGTGAAGCAGTTTACCTCGGTTTGTTATTAACGGGAGGTTGGTCAGCGAGCGAATAAACACGCACATAAAATGCGCACTGTTTCTTATCCAACATTATAAACTAAAACCACACAGGCATCGAGATGAAGTAAAACTACTTTGTTTTAAAGCATACCATAAATATTATATTACTAATTTCTCTCTTAACGTTAATCCAGCTGCCAACGTAGAACCTATTTGAGAAATATTTAAACTTGAAAGTATAATTATGCAATAAAAACAAACTGCCATCACCTGCTAATGAATGTCTGACCATCTTTTCATTTTACGTCATTGTTAAATTGGAGTTACCCCACGTAAATAGCAACGAATGAGATATAGAATAATAGTATGCGTTTTTGAATAAAATATCACATTAGAATAAACACATCGTTCTACTTTGCTTGAAATATAAATCTCATCATATATAAAATTAGATACATATAGAGTGTTAGTCCATTAAATAAATTGCGATGTTTAAATTTCATAGTTAATCATTGTGAATTGCCGGCGCTTTGAGCCGTATCGCGGCTGAAATGTGCCGCAGATTAACTGTACAGCTCGTGGGTACGTGTGCGTTTTTGTGAAAGCGCGTTCCTTGTGTGCAGCACAGCACATGTGTTCATCTGCTGCTTCGGGCCTGTTTTTCAGTTCGTCGCGATCCCTCGGACTTTACAAGGAGTCATAAACGGCCATAAAATTCTCTCTCACACACACACACACACACACACACACACACACACACACACACACACACACACACACACACACACACACACACACATATAAACACACACGCCCGAAGCCATGAAGCCATAAAGCATCCGTCTGACTTCTTCTGGTTTAATTGTCGATAACCTCTGAAGTTTCTCGGATTCATGGAGTTCCTACAGCTCTGAACTGTTTCCATCCCGGTGGCTGCGGCCGCTCCACCGGGTTGCAGTGGATTCACGGGATTCATGGCGCCTCTCATTAAGTAAAACATGTTATGCAACTAAATTAAAACAAACGGAAAACTGAAAAAACCTGTTATAATAATTTATATAATAATTTAAATGAATATATTTATCAAAGTTATTATTGGCATTAACATCAATAACGTTATAAAAATAATCCAAACTCTAAAGCTTCTAAAAAATGTTATTGTTGTATTAGTATTTGTATTTTCCTGACTTTTGGTTGTTATAATTCCTGTTAGCAGTAAAGTATTAGTAGCACTAGTAGGATGAGTTGCCTATCACTAATTATTTGAATTATCATATTTCACCTCAAAATGTAAAGTGCTGCTCATTTGGCGCTGTCCCAAACTGTCGGCCGCACACCTGCAACGACCGTCATTACAGGTAACCCTGGCAGACTAGCGCGTGAGCTTGGCTACGGAGTCAAAGTGTGAAGGCAGCCGGTCACGTGACATGGCAGCACAAAATATCTCACATTGCTGCCCTAAAGTTGCAGTAGGCCTCATTCACATTATCCTGAGCCGCTGCTGTTGAGGGTTGAGCTAACGTTTAGCTTTTGTAATTGGTCCGTACGCCTGGGCGGACTCACGGAACACGTTAAAAGACGCTATAATAGCGAGCGTGGCAAAACAGCTTAATTCTGGTATTAAGGTGAATTTTTCTGTCACCTATTGTTTTTAAACATGTATTATGAAACAGCATATAACTTTAGATTTAACCTAGAAAACATTGTTTTTCGACAGACTTCGTTGCACATCTCAGAAAGTCATATTTGACCTGCGGGCTTCCGTACCTTTAATTGTTTCTCCTCTTTATTATACCAAAGAAATATACTTCAAAATTGTGTTAATGGATATGGGTTGGGTGTGTAATAATAGCATTGCCGTCCCGTGTGTGCGCCAGGCTGAAGCCGCGTCTGTCCTGCCCCGACTGTTAGTGCTCATTAATGATTAAACCACCGTCAGCCTCAAACACAATGCTGCTGCTTCCCGTTCCCACAAAGCGGAGAGGAAGCGGAGCGTCCTGCCTGCGGAGAGAGAGAGAGAGGGAGAGAGAGAGGGGGAGAGAGAGGGAGGGGGAGAGAGGGAGAAGGGGAGAGAGAGGTCAAAAGGAGAGTTAAAAAGCGAGATTCTACCCGATATTCTCCCCAACTGTCGTGTGTGATCCTTCACAGAAAGCGAGCGTTGAGGATTCAACGTATTGTCTGTCTCACTGCTCCGAACAGTGTTCCCTTAAAACAAGGAGAGCGAGCGAGAGAGGGGAGGAATAGATGGGGCGGGAGGGCGAAGTAAGAGTAAAAATAGAGTCTTTGTCTCTATTTGTCAGTGGGGCTGTCTGCTGTTTGGCCATGTAGACAAGTCAGAGCCTGTAGGGGAAACACAGAGAGAGGGAGATTTATTTATGGCTGCGGTCATTTTACGACCTCAGCGACACATATTCCGTTTGTAAGTGCGAATGAAAAATAGGCCGGCTCGAGCTTTTCGGCTGTTGTTGTTTCTAAACGCTTTCTTCCTTGTCTTTCACTCGGTCCCTTTTCTATAGTGCTCCCAAGTAAAAGGTAAAACACAACTGTATTTTGGCTAGATTGATTTAAAGCACAAAGTAGCATAGTGCTGAATTTGTGTGTATGCGTCTGTGTGGGGGTAATGTTTCTGGTCATGTATTACTTATTACCCTGCTTTTCGCTCTTAAAAAACTCTGTGATAGCTAAACGAATGTCATAACACGTTTGTGACATATATGCTTTAGGAAAAATGGTCGTATAGACGCAGTTTGGGCAATTGTATTGGAGTGCATCCTAATATGTGCTGGTTATAATGACCAATTGTTATATTAAATTATTTGGACTAATTTATATAATCTATATTTTTTATTTATCGGTGATGCTGGCTCCATGTGTTTTTTTTTTCTTTTATATCCGCTCGTATCTCTATGCAATTGCCATAATATTATGACTCGAGGCCATGTCCTAAATGTAATTATGTATTTCAGAATTTTAAATTATATTTTCAATACGGCGGTACGTTATAATATATGGCACCCCTTAAGGTTGTAGCCATATTTTAGACGCATTGTATGAATATATTTCACATGTACATGGCCCCATGGAAAGAGTCAGCTGCAAGTCTCTAATCAGTGTCAAGAGAACGGGGAAAAATGTAGAAAGTTTGGGACTGTTTTCTGTCTTCCGCTCCGTTTAACATTGTCAGCTCTAATCAGTGTCACATAAGAAGACAAATAATAATTGATGGCGCGCGCTGATCAAACCGCAACCTGCTCCTGCGGAACACAACTGGGACACTTTGGTTTTAATTATCTACAGACACCGCAGCTTGGAACCAACGCGGCGTGTGACCCTAACGGCGGAGCGCGAGGCAGAAGGCCTCATCCAGGTCCTCTCCCGTCAATAAAACATCGAGCCATCAGAATTTGCTCAGAAAGTCCCTTTTAGTGTCAATTATTATGAACGTCTATTCTACACAGAAGAAGTGCGATGAAAAGGCCCCCGTACAAGAGAGGACCCACGCCCACGCACACGCACACACACACACACACACACACACACACACACACACACACACACACACACACTGACCGGAGTGGGAAGCTCAAATCCACCCACCAAACAAAAAATACCAATTACAAAAGTACAAACCCCTCAATTAGACTTGGATAGCACATATTATGTTGTAGGATAACTCACATGCACGCGTAATGCGTGTGGATCCGCACACACACCCTGACGCAGGGTGTAGTGCATGTGGCTCAAGGCTTTGAATTAGCTAAAATTATTTAAATACGGTCGGTATTATCTTCAAAGCGCCGGTAATGTGTGTTATTGTTCGGTTGCCTCCGGTGGTGGTGCAGTCGCCTCGGTGGGAGGGCTGCGCGTGAACGTGCCATTCCTTTTTTATGGGTCCACAACAGAAGGAGACGGACACGCGGGGCAAGAAAAACATAATTTAACGCACCGAGGATTCCGGTGTGATTTTGCAATCGCACTGTGAACCGGAGGGGGAGATTAAAAGAAGGGAATGAGAATTAGAAAGAGAACGAGGGAGACAAATAGTAAAGAGGAGGTGATGCCCCACCCCCCCCCCACAACCCCCCCACCCCTTCTTCTCTGCAACGACAGGAAAATGGGCGAACGAATGGCAGGCACGGATGCCTCCCATTGGTCAGTCGGAGGTCAGCTGCTCTTTTCCTCTCTCCTTTACACCCCTCCTCACCCCACTTCGTTGTCCCCACACAAACGCACGCACGCGCGCGCACACACACACAGACCCCCCCCCCCCCCCCTCCCTCCCTCTCTCGCTGTCTCTCTTTCTTCCAAACTGGCACTCAGCCACCTACACCCCCCCCCCCCCCCCGTCCCCCCTCGCCCTCACCCTCCTCACCCCACTCCTCCCGATCTGCGATAAACTAAGTGATAGCAGCAGCCCGTCGGACTGTCGGCTATAAAGCACAACAAATCATAAAGTGCAGGCAGGGGAAGGCAGAGGAAGGAGAACGGGAGGGAAAGCCGTTAGCCGCTAGCCTCTTCTACTCCTCCTCCCTCTTCTTCTTCTTCATCATCGCGTTAGCGTGGATGTTGTGTTTGTTCCGTGTCTTCCTGTCCTCCCCTCTCCTCTTCTTCTCCTCTTCTCTCTTCTCCTCCTTCTTCTTCTATCTTACTTCCTCCCGATGAGTTCCTATTTCGTCAACTCCACTTTCCCGGTAACGCTACCGGGGACGGGTGCCGGCGGGCAGTCGGCGGAGTCGTTCCTGGGTCAGATCCCGCTTTACTCGTCGGGATACGCCGCCGACCACCCGCTCCGGCACTACTCGGGGGCCGCCGCCGTCTCCGCCGCCGCCACGGCGTACGGCGCGAGCAGCGGCGTCGTTCACCAGGAGAAACCGTACCCCGCGCCCTCGTACTACCAGCAGGCGGCGAACGGAGCATACGGTGCGCACCGGGCGGCGCAAGGGGTCGTTGGAGCTGGCGCTTGCGACTACGCGGTGGCGGCAGCGGCGGCGGCTGCGGCGGCCACGAGCTTTTACCGGGACAAGGAGCACGCGTGCACCCTGGAGGAGCATCAGCTCGCTATGAGCCAGGAGGGAATGCACCGTAAAGTTGAGTGCGCGGGGCTGAGTGGGAAAGGGGTGTTCGGCGAAACGATGGACGACAAGCTACCGTCGTCAGCCCCTATTTATCCGTGGATGCAGCGGATGAACTCCTGCAACGGTGAGTGTCTTCTCCCTTATCCGCCACGCTTGTTTCGTGAATATTTCATGACCCCCCCCCCTCCTCTCCCTCGTCATAGAGTTGACGATGGCTTCCTCTGTCAAGCTCCTCTGCTGTCTTCCACTCTCCTCTTCCAATAGCGGCATTATGCACCTCGTTTGTCGCACCTGTCGGTCAGTAGTGCGGTCGGTATTTTATGAACCGGGTTTGTTTGTATGTGACCCGCTGACCGGCGTCGCTACCAGGAGAATGGTGGGTGGGGTTACAGAGGAAACGCCAGTCAAGGAGCTTTGTGGATGAACACAAGCAAGAGATAGAAAGATAAACAGACAAGACATGGAACCAAAAGCATGCCATCTCTACTGATCAGTTATGTTTGCTTTGCCACTCTCTGCGTGCCAGTTGTTTCCTGCCAGTTACCAAACATCTCCCCACAATAGGACAATCAAAAAGATTACGTAACTCCTTTAAGACAATATCTGTTATTAAATATATATATATATTACACTTGTTGTATCCCTCTCCTGATAAAGGAAGCTCCTGCTGGTGTTTTGCATGTCAACTTCCCTTCTATTACCTCACATGGAGCCTGTACTGTTTATTCATAACCGAACAGGTGAGATATTGAACCACGTGAATTAAACCGCACGTGCGACGTGACGGATTTGGGCCATTTAATGGAAAAAGAGAAGTGGGCCTGTTGAGTGTGTAATGAGAGAGTAATGTTGGACAATACACGACTGCTGCTGTACAAATCCACGTAGGACAGAAGAGGCTGTAGAGAAATACATTAGTAATAATAAATTAGCGAAAAGGCAACGCGCCGAGAGAGATGAATTGGAGACGTGAATGGCAACTTTTGGAGAGCGCACAAAACCCCTGGGCGCTACTTCATAATCCGATTTTTATTTTTGTATTAATTCCTGTATATGTATATAGACAGATATTCGCCGTGAGCAACGTGTATGCACCATTTACCATTACTAGGATTTAAATACAAATACATAATTACACACGAATATGTTAGAGAGTGGGCTAGAAAAGTGTAACACTCGTCTCTTTCTTCTCACCTGAATGCCGCTTTTCGCCCATCAAAATAGCAAAAAACGTTTTTATTTTATTTTTCTTTATTTTACGGCATTTTATTTTGCCTTCATAAATAAATAAAACAAATCTCTTTGTGTTATTTATTATTGAACTACATAGATGTGGGATTATTCTGAAACTTGGTGGATTGAATTCGAACTCTTCCAAATGCCACGAGGAGAGGGGGGGGGGGAAAGACGCACGCGTTCCTCTCTCACCAGACAACTATTCGTTTTTCAATCCGTTAAAATGTAACTTTCTTTCCTTCGTTTCGTCGCAGGGACCTTCGGCAGCCCCGGGAGGCGCGGACGGCAAACGTACACGCGCTACCAGACGCTCGAGCTGGAGAAGGAGTTCCACTTCAACCGGTACCTCACGCGGCGGCGACGCATCGAGATCGCGCACGCGCTCTGCCTCACGGAGCGGCAGATTAAGATCTGGTTCCAGAACCGGCGGATGAAGTGGAAGAAGGAAAACAAGATGATCAACTCCTCCTCGTCGTCGTCCTCCTCTTCCTCCACGGCGAACGGCACGGAGGAAGAGGAGAAACGGGCGGAGTGAAAGTGGAGAAGAAAAAGACTGAGAAGAGAGGAAGATGGAAGGAAAAGACATGTTGATCCCTTCCCCTTCCTTTTCCCGTCTCAAAGTTCGTCCAGGCGCGTGTCTGATGTGAAAACTCTGGGAGAAATGAACGCAGCCTACATGATACTATAATTATTTCCATTTTATTTTTTTACAGCAGGCGGAAAATATTCTTTTTATCTATGTGGTCTGAACGTTGGATTTCATTCGCACAGAGGACAGATACAAATTAGAAATGGGAGACAATAACTGCAAAACGAGAGCAGTGGGCTCCCGAAGAGTGTTTAAACATACAGCAAACAAATAACCCGCCACCGAATGGGGAGAAACTGACTACTCAGTAAGAGAAACCGGCCTTCTGAATGTGCTCTCATTTCATAATACTCAAAATGTAACCCCTGTCCACCAAGCACTTGCTTTCGAAATATTTAGGAACCCACTGATTATAATTTAATATTTTATAAGTGTTGAATTATACCCGCGGTTAAACGCGCAGGCAAGCTCACGCGCCGACGTGGAGGAGAACGAGCTATTGGAGATGTGTATGTAATGTTTTCATATTTATGTACAGAAACAAGCAATCATCTTGCACGGTGAAAATAATGTCATGTTGGGGTCAGGGATAAGGGGTAATTTAATCTTTCGAGGGGTTTTCCAGTATTGGGGGGGAGGGGTGTTATCCTACTGATGTTGTTCTCCAGACTACCTAAAAAAACCTTCAGGAAAGTGTATATTTTATGAATTTTTACATTGTTTATGTTAGTGTTTTTGTCAAGTCATTGCATATTCTACCTATGAGACATGTTCAATAAAATGTAAAGTAGAAATTCGTCTTATTGATTGACTAAAACGGGGACGAATAGCTCTGCGTCCAAACCGATCAGTGGAGTGGAGACGGTTTTATTTGATTAGTTAGCGCACTGCTTACTCGCGCGCTCGAAGAATCATAAACCTTTGTACCGTATTTTTCTTGAATAGTGGCCGGACCCAGGGGGCAGGCGGGTGGCCCATTGCACGCGGTTGTCCGGATGGGGAAGTGACAAGCAGCGCGAGCTAATTGATGAACAGACCCGGGGAGAGAAAGTTGACCTGTCCTCGAGGCGAGCGACCAGACACGGCACGCACACATAAACACACACTAACACACTTTCAGCCAGACAAAGTGGACAATGTCCTTGTGACCCTTTGAACTCTACGCGTCCCCTGAGTGACCATGCGCGCGGGTTGCATCTCTCCGCAGAGCAGAGGCTGGTTTACAAATTAATGATAATAATGAAGTCATGTGATTTATCAACCAGTACTGTATTGTATACACATTTGCTTCCCAACTATAGATAAAAATCCCATCATCGAGTATTTCCATAATGAATACCATGCAGTCGAGATTGGATACATTCTATTTTTTGTTTAAATTAGCTTGATTAATAATAGGTTGTATGCTTCTACAATCAACTTCCACATCACTGAATATGCGTTTTCCGGACGTACAAGGCTTAATAAGTGTGCCAATAAAAACCTTTGCTCGGTGACACACCGAATTCACACGTCTTCATTTTGTATATGCTTTTCCATCCTTCACAGCACCTTTGTTTCCGTACCTTTCTAGTTTCACAAATGTGTGACATTTCCACTAGAATCGCAATACCACGTCAGCACGTGGAAACGAGGATTTAAGTAGGGTATTGATTTCAGAATGTCTACTATTCACAGGGTGATTCTGTCCATAAACAATGTGAGCGGAGGCAGACACTCATGGCTCCAGCTGGAGGACCAGGTCCACAAACAAGTCAAACCCCGAAGCCCGAGCGACCTCACAAAAACACACCGACAAACACAGAAATAGAAAAGTAACATCCAGCGCAACAGCTTAATATTCAGTTCGTGTAAGAAGGAGAGAGTAATCTTGCCATCTTCTTATCTAAGCCTTTGGAATTTCTTTCGCACCGAAGTGGTCAGCGAGTTGTGTTCCGATGCACATTTTTAGTATATTTGCAAATCTATATATAACGAGGGGAGTGTGTTCTTAGGTGTGTGAAAACCGGGTCACGTCTCCTCCCCCTCACCCGCGTGAAACACTCTGGATTCTGTGCCCCTGAACTCCCTCGGGCGGCGTTTAGGCCAACAGGCGGCTGTTTGAAACTTTAGTGAGTAAAAAGATAAGTGAGATTTTTGTCCATTTGTATGCCGTCACATCTGTTTCTTCTGCCTCGGTTGGTTAGAGATATTTGAGATGATCTTCATTCCAACGGCAGGCTTCTTATTTTGCACGACGAGTTACTTAAATGTGGTCGGGAAACTATTCGCACATGCAGGAGATCATGCGTGCACGCGCACCCCCGTAGAACTTTGTTCCTCTGTATCGTTTTACACAGACACACATACAATCTGGAACTCTTCATGTGTCCCATGTTCAAGCCCGTGTGTATGCATACATATGTGTCAGAGTTCAAACGAGGCCTAATACAAACACACACGCACGAGGTCAGACACGCAGAGGCACCCTGGCTGAAATGCATTCTCGACCTGGGAATCAACAAATCATAAATCAGCAAATTTCCGTCCAGTATGGACGACACAGATCAGGTTTAACATTCCTCCTCTGCAGCTGGAAGGGAGGCTGTAAGGACAACGGGGGAGGGATGGGGGGGGGGGGGTATAGCCCAAAACTAGAAGTCCCATAGACTTTGATCATTGTAGCCTTGTATTGTCTAATGTCATGGGCCTTTAAAGGTGTGGTGCATTCTGCAGGAAGCATGATTGTGACAGCAAAGAGGGAAGACTTGGACAGAATGAACCAGAAAATGATATTCTCTAGTCTAGTTATTCTATTTGGACATTGGTTTCTGAGCCCATTGTTGTTTTGTGTTGAAGCTTGAAGATCTAGCTGAATAAATACAGATTAGCTAAATTATTCATACACTGATCAAATTGTGTTATGTGGCCTTGATTGCGTTTGAGTTTGCAGTACATATTGTTTTCACTTTGGCAACAACTGACATTGACGTTTTAATGTGGGTTGTTTTCAGTCATTTGTTATTATGTTATAGATGTAATGTATTATTATTAAATAACGATACAATAAACTAATATAGGTTCATTTGCTAGGTTTTATCTTCTTCGGGTTGACCGTAACCCGGCTCCTAATCTACAGCCAGAGCAAAAGGACAATTAACAGTTTTGAGGAATGTGAGAATATTTTATATTTTATCTCAACTTTGTCTCTCTCCATCTGTGTTTTTTCTTAAATCACTGCAATGAATGAGGCGTGCAGCAGGTGGCGCTCTGAGCTCACACCGGCACCCGTCAACAGCACGAAGTTAGAGAGAGCTCCCCCCGCCCATCCCTTCACCATTAGAAACCCCAGAGCATGAATTACCTCTCCAAAGTCATCGGCGAGAATTTACGACTGGTCAACAAAAGCACGTGACCACCCCCTCCCACATTTCTCCCTGTCTCTCTCTCTCCTCCCTCACCTCACCCCTCACCTCCCCCATCACACACACATACCCTTCAATCCAACACACACACACACATACACCGCCGCCACCCCACCCCCATGTTTGGACGGCACATACATAGCTAAAAACGAAGTACAGTGCAACGCCATAATTCACTAATACATCATAAATCGTTGCAAGTACCAGCGGTATAACGACCAGGAAAAATCTAACAAATCAAGCGCACCTTGGTCCTCAGCTCTGAGCTTGCAACTCTCTAAAACCTAAATGAGCTCTTACTTTGTAAACTCGTTCTCTGGGCGCTACCCAAATGGCCCCGACTATCAACTGCTAAATTATGGAGCCAGCAGCGGCGCAATGAACGGCGGGACGTACAGGGACTCTTCCTCCGCCAACATGCACCATGCGACGGGCTCTTACGGCTATAGCTACAATGGCATGGACCTGACTGTCAGCAACCGGGGAGGGGGGAGCGGTGCCACCAACTCCGGAGGACACTTCGGAGGCGGCTCAATCATTGGGGACTCCCCGGGCTTCGGTTCCCCAGCCCCCGAAACGGGCTTCCGACGGACGTCCAGCTGCTCCCTTGCGTCTGCCGCGGATTCCATGCTGTCACCTGGCAGCGGAGACGCTAAACTGGGCGCCCGGACGTCGTCTCCCCGTTCAGAGCAACCAGGAAGCGGTAATCTCAGCTCCCCAAACCTGTCCTCGACCTCCTCCTCTGGCGGCGGCGGCGGAGGAAGCGGAGCGCAGCATTTCACGGAGCTGGACGACGCGTCGCCCCGACACCGAGGAGTTACAGCACAAACCGCCGCTTAGGACCGGGCACCCGCAACGCGTGCAGAGGCGAGAGGGCGGCCCGGCGGGATCGGCCACCGGTGGCACCGCGGGAGGCGACACTCGGCCACCACAGATATTCCCCTGGATGAGAAAACTGCACATTAGCCATGGTACATGCTGCGCTCCTGTTTATAACGTAACCGCTTAATGTCAATAATATACATGATTTGAGTTGAGTAAGCCCGCTGCTCCAGGGTGGACACACATTTAGCACTATGTGTCAATTTCATAGTTTCATATAAATGTCAGAAAACCGTCAGTGGGGTGTTTGAACACCACACTAGAGCACATTGGCTATTATTTTTCGCAATGCTTTAATTTGCAAACAATGTGGTAAAATGATGTATTTTGAACGTAATTTTAAAATAAGTAGTAAGTAAAAACGGCTGTTTTTCCGCCTCTGGTGAACGAGCTGAAGCCATTTATTGGCGTGTTTTATTTTTTTTCCGATTTAAATCCCTGGTTTAGAAGCCGCGTGGACGGATGGTGGCCCCCTCTTTGTTTTTTTTCTCCCTCTTCTTTTATTTGATCAAATTCCTCAAAAGCGTCATAAATCTGTCAGTGGGGTGGGGGTGCCAAAGCCGGGCAGCGAAGTCCAACAGGCTAAAGAAGGCAGAGCTGGGTGGGAAGGGGCAGAAAAAAAGAAAGAGGCCACGAAGGGCTTTTGGAAGCTGTTGCTCCTTTGAAAAGTGAAGCTTTATTACGTGTGGGAACTTTATTAGGGAGGTGAGACAGAGGACGGGGGCAATAAAATGCCGAAGGCAGCTGGAGATGTGTGTGTGGGGGGAGGGGCGGCGGGGGAGTAGTGGTTAAAAAATAAAAACGTGATGTCACAAATAAATGTGTAGAGGGGGTGCACATGATCATATCAACCACTGTAGCTGCAATATACCAGAATCTGCGAACAACTCATTGTTGGTCATTTTATGGTGAATCGCTGTTCATGAAGGTGTCCCCAGTATTTGGTCCACTCGTTCATATCACATGTTGGTGCGTCCAAATTTGCCCCGCAACCCCACCCTCCACTCCACCAATGGATCCTTAACAGTTTTTTGTCCCCCCCCCCCCCCCCGCCCCCACTCCGTAGATATGGCGGGCCCGGATGGGAAGCGGGCGCGCACGGCGTACACCCGCTACCAGACGCTGGAGCTGGAGAAGGAGTTCCATTTCAACCGGTACCTCACGCGGCGGCGGCGCATCGAGATCGCCCACGCGCTGTGTCTCACTGAGCGGCAAATCAAGATCTGGTTTCAGAACCGGCGGATGAAGTGGAAGAAGGACAATAAGCTGAAGACCATGAGCCTGGCAACTTCCGGCAGCGCTTTCCAACCCTAAACACGAAATACAAATTAAATTTAAAAAATGAATCCATACTCTTTGGAGGGGGTTTAACTACAGGCTTCTTTCCACGAGGGGAAAGTCAGACTAAACAGAAAGACAAGCAGAAGAATGGAGAAAAAGAAGACGGCGATGAAGAAATATATGTACACCTCACATCTAGATTCAGAAAAAAAAAACACTCCTTCCTACAAAGTACCGTAATGCAGCACTATTGATTTTTCGGCATGTTTGTGTTTTAGGGCTAAGTAAATTAAACTGTGGTACTTTCTACGTTGTGTTGTATGTACAAAAAAAAGCAAGAAAAGGGAAAGATGAATAATGCTACCGAACTGTCTATACTTACGTTTTACCTTGCAACCTTGACGGTGTCTGAATAACGTTTAATGTCCACGTGCGATGTTTTATACTTGACAAAGTGCTTGATGTTAACATGTAAGCTCTCGTTGCAGGTTTACAGCCAGTGTTTAGCCTTTACCCTTGCGCTTTATGTCTGTCTGTCAGTTACTCGACATCTAAATCGCCTCCTATTTCTTATTTAGATCCATAGAAGGTGCGTATATGTGCGCGTGTGCGTGTAAAAAAACAGGCCTGCTAACATCTCCGAATCACGTGGTCTATTATCAGTGGAAGTGTATATAATTGTTATTGTTCACGTAATCATCGGACACATGTTTTAGAAAGGATGTACATAAACATATATATTGTTATTTTTCAATGTGACCAATTGGCTATTTGTAGTTGCAATGCGCGTGCCTGTATGAGTGAGTGGGAGTGTGTGTGTGCCTGCACATGTGAGTGAAATATCTACCTTCCTGTGAGGGAGGCCTGTGAGCTTTCTGCCAATGAGCTTTTTGTATTTTGTTTGTAACTTGGAGTAAAACAATAAAGTTGTCCATACTCGTCAAAAGTGCCAGACCGACTCGCCCAGCTGCCGTAGGCACAATGTACCCACAAATGGCTTTGTTTTTACGTCAGAGAAAGGGGGTTAGGTTTAAATATGTCAGGTTCAGCTGAAGCCGTAACATTGTCACGTGCAAGCATTTGCACTAGATTCTGAATCGCTTTATATCTACCTGAGAAATAAATAGTCAAGGGACTAATGCCTAAACTAAATCAGCCTCATTCTTCTCCCGTACATCTGCACATATAACATGTTCGGCTACGCATTCATAAACAGTGTGTTTTCAATGTTTAAATTAATACAAAATGATTCAAACCGGAAAAGAACACCAAATTGCGCCATGCGTAAAGACGCACCGTTTCAAGGTCTTGCAAGTCTGTTTTTCCAGGCCTTGTCCTAACACAGAACGCCACATGTCCAAGGCGACCACGTCCTGGACATCAGCACTGTCATGACGTTGAGCTCGCCAATCACAAGACAAAGCGCATAAAACAAACGCACAGAACAGCCTATTTCCATCTCCGAAGACGAAGTCTGACAAGATAACCCACTACCCCGGGTTATCCCTCTCCGTTCGACAAAGGACGTCACTCCTTGCCCAATGAGGTTAACTTCCAACCGCAAACAACCAACTGAACTTTTAAACTCACCGACTGAGGCCGCTTTAGCTTCCCTGTTGTAGCGGCTTTATTTTGGGGCTGATGAAGGGGAGGTGGCGTGGGGGGTATGACATCGTGTCCTGTCCATATAGCCTCATCTGGAGACAACCAGCCATCGCCTGCCTCCTCTGTGTGTGTGTGTGTGTGTGTTAATGTGCATGTGTGTGAGATGTTTTTTATAGCTAACCTCCTTCTGCTTTGGGCCAAACTATAAAAAAGGACGGTAGCTCTGACATGTACATGCCAAAAGGATGGCTTTTCTTATCTCCAAGTTGGATCGTAAAGATCAGGCCTGGCTTCAGAATGATACCTCTCACTGGTTCTCCCCTGGTCACGTGGGGTCCATAAAGTTAGTTTTATGGTTTGGGGGAGTTGACAATGTACTATATATTTTACATTCTGGAAAGCAAGTGACGGTTTAACTGCTTCGCCGGGATCCTAAAGGGGTCAGTAAAGTGGAGACGGAGCGAGAGGGAGGGTGCGTCTATGAGAGAGGGAGAGAGAACGGGCCACGACTACCGGCCGCTGCTCGAGCTCCGGTTCACACGCCAAGCCCGGCCAGCTTCGTCCTGCGCCGCGCGCACTGGAGCGCTTTGAAAACCCCGATGGATAGAGCGAGCAGAGGCACAGTAAGTGACTTGCTGTGGGAGTGAGGGGGGCGGTAGGTGGCAGAGTGTGCGTGTGTGCGTGTTCGGGGGGGGGGGGGGGGGCTGTGTGAGAGAGAACCCTGTCACTCACTCGCCCGGGGAGGCTCCACGTTCCCCATGTGGGTGAAAGGGTGCATGTGTGTGCGTGTGTGTACTCTCACGCTGTTGCAGTGTACATTTGTGTGTTGCCTCCAAAACACTCGGGGGGTGCGTGCACGCGCGCAGATCATACAGGTGCGGTGTGGAGGACTTTAACAAGCATAATACATGAAGGAGTTGGATCTGTTATGACGTCCAGATGCTCACTATCATGCCGTTTCCTCGTATATTTTGAAGATGTTTGGATGAAGTGCTTTAACAACAGCTTTGTGACTATAGCCGAGGAGGTTGTTCAGTGATTCCAAGGTCCGAGTGATGATTTCTCTCCCTCTTTCACTGGATGATATGAAAATATTGAAGGTACTTTTGTCAAGGAAAGTGGCCTTTATTGCGGCGTTGTTTTCTGTGCGCAAAGAAAGAGAAAAAACTTTCAAGACTGGATGAAATATTGTCTAACATAAAACCGGTGCGTGGGTCAAAAAGGTTGGGGATCACTCTACTAAGGGATTCAGGGAAGTGGGGAAATGCACGTGTGTAACATTAACCAATAACTATAGCAGAAAGGACACACAAACGCGTCCTTGGACAAGAAGAAAAAATTCCACCCTCCCCGCCCTTTGCGCCCTTGTATTTTCCAGGCAGGATGGGTGTGAGTGAAAAAGTCGTGGATACAGGCTCAGGGGTTACTAGCTTGTAGTACAACGGATCTTTGGCTTGATGTTGGACTCACAGTGAACCCACCAGGCACACACAAACACAGCAGCATGCATATAGAAACACCGTTTTCACCGTGCGCCGTTTTCCTCTGCGCGCACGCTGGCCTCATATTGCGCAGATCCTTCATGTAAATTGTTTGATGTCTCCCGTCAAGAGTGAACTCTCTTATACGTGTAGATACATAGTGGAGTTTAAAACTTTAAAAAACTTTTAATCAAAGCACCCAGATGGAAATAGCCAGACCCCGGTTATAAAAACGTCATAAACATTTAAATGAATAGTCCTTGTGTGAGTGTATACATGAACAACAGTGTTATTTACTTAAATCAGACCCCGCATATATTTTGATTGCGATTTATTTGGTAGCAAACATTTAATTTCAGAAAATATAATATAACCTCGCTCCCGATGAAGGCCGCCAAATAAAAGCCCCTGTAAAAAATAGTGATACGTGTTTTCTCATTTACGTGATGTGTCTGCAAGATTGCATTAAAACAATATGCACGTTTTATGCTGTTATGTTATAGACGTGTATGTGCGATATATTCGAGTAGTTCTTTATTTCTGTTAGTTGTTCTATTACCTTTATTATTTTTCTTTCCTCTATTTTTACAATATAAGTCACAGCGTAGGACTACAAGCATAAGTTAACGAAGAGTTACCGTTTTTATGGCAGCGAGTTGATCCCGCTAATCAGAGAGGAGGACTCTGCTCTCGGAAGCCTCTCTCTGCTCTTAACCTGTCATTTATAACGATCACTTGGCCCGCTGGCCCCGATGCGGGTATTCCCGGCGATGCCCCTCCACCTTCACAGTGATTATTCACCGGCTTCACACAAATGTTTGTTAGAGTCATATTTCTTAGAGGACATACCCCCTTTTCTTCAAGGTAAAATTATTCAGGTAACTAATGTAGAAAAGGTTAATTTCAATACACAAGATGTCACCACAAATTTATTTTTTTCAATTTATAATTGCTCTGGCGGACCCCCATAATTATTTCCAGACTGCAGTTCTTCTTACAATGACGTGGTGTTGTATTATTAAAGCACGAAATCACGAGCCAAAAATATCAATCGGGAGATTTACTCAAGGAATTAAAGGTAAATACTTTAACGCATTAAGGTTTATCTAGTGGCTTTCGGGAAAAGTCTTCTTTGTTTTCTCGTTTCTTGATATTAAAATATGTCAAACATTCTCAACAAAAAGTAGTAATGGTGTTAATACTATCAGTAATAATATTGATTAACAAATCCAGCAAAATCTGAGACCAGTTTTTTAATGTACGTTTTTCCAAACACCTTCTTTTCCATCATGACAATAATTCTTTTTCTATATCCGGTGTGAGATAACGGCTCATATCACCCAATGGCCTTTGTGTGTATTTTCATGTGCGTGCGTGTGTGTGTGGATTCGTGTAGGTCGTGCCTGGCTTGGATCCTTGAGGAAGTTTCAGTTCAGTAAACAGGAAGACGAGAGAGAGGAAAAAACTCCCACATTTCATGTTTCATCGACTTCCTCCTTTTAATGATGGTACAGGAACATCACCCTTTCCCCGTGGCCTTATACACACACACACACACACACACACACACACACACACACACACACACACACACACACACACAAGGACACGGCGAGCGGGACACAAATTGCTTGTCAAGATGAAGATAAAAAACAGTGCGCAAGGCTGTGACACAGCGGAAGGTGCAGCAGCTCTGTATGGCCTCCTTTGTGTTGTTCTCGCACTGTGTGTATGTTTGCCGTTTATGTACACAGGGCAGCTCCAGCCTGCAGAGCCGCTTCTGCCTCGCCATTATGCGCATTATGTGCATTATTTGCATTATGCGCGTTATGTGCACGGGCTTGCCGCTGCTCTTTTGAACCCGTTGAAGCTGTCAGAAAGCGCTGAGTTTGGCTTTGCGGTCTGTGTGTTGGTGATGACGAGTGGGGTGAGTAACTAATACCCTTTCTTTTTCTACCCGTAGCATTGCAAAGATGTGTTCGTCAGTGTCTGTGTGTGTGTGTGAGGGAGGGAGGGAGGGAGGTCCGTGGGAGCGAATGGGTGTGTTTTGTTGTGTTTGGTGGGTTTATTGGCAGGGCATGAGAGAGAGAGGGGTGGGTGGGGGCGGAGGGTGAGAGAACCAAGGTGGGAGAGCGTGAGTTGCATTGAAAAGTGTTGTGTGTTTTAGTTAAATATTTTGGTTTGTTTCTTGGCCTGAATTTGATCATTTAAATTTAAAATCTCGTTCCATTTGAGCTACGTATTTCCCATATAGCCCATTCTGTGGATTTCTGCTTTAATACGAAGATAGTATATTTAAAAAGATGTAGCTACTTCCTATCTCGTGTAATCATACACAGACACATTATGGCTTTCCTCTTTCTTGGGGTCGCAGCTTTGAGCGTGATTGCTTTACGTTTGCATCGGCGAGGCCTTAACGTGTGCGTGTGTGTGTGTGTGTGTGGGGGGATCTCATGAATAATGCATGAGCAGGGAAGTCACAGCGAGGTCAGCAGACAGGCTCGAGTCGCGCACCGCACGAGGAGGCGCAAGGAGGTGGACATGTGTGAGTATGAGCGTGCCTGCATTAACTTGCGCAACATGGGGAAAATAATAAACGACTGGCGGTTGTCTTTACTTATTTATTTACCTGTGTCCCCCAGGTGCGGGTAAGAAGGGAAGGATGTTTACTTCAAACTACACAACTACACAATTTTAATGAGGCTGGACGGGTAAATACAGAGCGGTAATACAAGTACAAAAACACATGGTAAAGCACGGGCAGAATATATATATATATATATATATATATATATATATATATATATATATATATATACTTCTACTACTACTACAGCTGTTTTAGCAAAAACGCGGAGAGATGAATTGATTTTCTATTTCTAGAAGTGTTTGCAGTCAACAAAAGGGCTGGGAAGGGCTCCCACGATAGCGCGTGTTTGCCTTGGTGACGGGTTATGACGAGCCAATAATTGAGCAAATATTGAATGATACGCCGGTCGTATCTATTGTCTATTTTTTCAGGTTTCAATATGTCCGGCAAATACACATAAACAATGAACAAATTGTATTCAAAGTTGGTTTTCCTCACAAAGTTAGCTCATCTGACATAAACAATTTATTAGCTTTGGTTTTGCCACAAAAAAAAGAATGTGTGGAAAGTCGAGGCTCCAACCATTTAAGGCAAAGTACGAGCTTATTTTGCATATCATAGTAATAAGAAATTATCTTATAAAAGGATTTAGTATAATAGAAAAACGACTGCTATATTTCTACTTATATTAGAAACATTGAACATGAAAAAAAAATCCCAGCAATTAAAACGAATCTCCCATGGTAACAACAATACTTCTACTACTACTACAACTACTATTACGATATATCAATAATAGTTATATGACTAAATTTAGATTATAAAACACACCGGGTGGTAATAATGATAATATTATCAATAATAACATCCCCCGTCACAGAATGCAGCTCTCTCACGCCTCCACCAGAGCCCGCTTCAGACCAGGACACAAAGGAAAAAAGCCGGCGCAGGACGCCCTCTTCTGCTCGAGCTACACCCCCACCCCCACCCTCCCTTTTGAATTCCAACCGATCCTCGCCTCCGCTGTCAGAACTGTTGGTATCATTCGAACTTGATCAAAGGCGAGTGATCGTATAAGTTCAGGTGTGAGGGACTGAGTCTGAAGGAGGCGAACTAACTGCTTATTCCCTTCGATCAGAGGGAGGAACAAGATAACCGCTGATCCATTTTAGCGCTACATTTACAACATTATCCCGCAAACACGGACGAGAAGGTCGTAGCTGCGTCTTATTTCCTTCCGGCCAAGGAGGGTTCGCGGAGTTGACGGGTCAAAAGTTCACCGTCGCGCGTGTGTTCCGCCCTCGCCTCCAGACTCAATTGCTGTATGTCAAAGGCAACGAATGGGGGAGGAAGGGGATGGAGGTAGGTAGAGAGGGTACAGATAGCAGGAGGCGAAAGAGAGGTGAGGGCCTGACCTTGCCCTCCCTTCCCCGGTAACAAAAGGCGGTGCCCCCCCCCTCGCCGCAGCGATGTACAGAGGGAGAGGTGAAGGCAGAAGAAAGGCAGAGAAATAAAGGGGTTGGCGGTGGTGGGAAGGCAGAAGGTATTTGGTGACATGGAGGTGGGCTGTCTGGGGTGTGCAAGTTTTACATATTCTGTCCACGTCTAACATTTGTATTTCACTGGGGTACCTTTCTTTTCAAAGACTATTATGATACATGTGCTCAAAAAGCTCACCGATGGGAAAGAAAAGGCATAACCTCATTACTTTAGACTTGGGCAAGTAATTAAATACATATATAGTATTTGTATAAACGAAACCCATGAATGTACCTGCCTCTGACACAAATGTCCAATAAGAATACAATGTAAAACCATTACAATCTATATTGTAGTATGTTGATGAAACATTGTCTACATCCCTGTGGAGGACACAATTGAGCCGAGTGCCATGTAAGTTTGTGTGTGAGAGCGAGATTAGTGGTTGTAAAGTGGTGGTTTCATGCTTGGAGACAGCAGCTATTTATAAATCCCCAAAGTATTATTTGAAGAGTGAGTTTGAGAGCACAGCTCTTCCTACTCAACCTTATCAGCACAACCCTGTCAAAACTACACCCTTATCTTGCGCACCATCCACGAAATATTGCTCCCCTCATCCAATTTCACCTCTGCAAGACGAATGCGTTGCCCCTGATACTTTTGTAGCTGAAAAGAATGATCCTAAAACCATTTTTTCTCACTGCTGTCCATCCTTCTCCATATTTTTTAAATAAATGATCTAAGCTGTTTTTCCATGGGCCATTATTATTGGTATTAATATTCGGCTTAATGGAGTAAGTGAATGGGTGTTGAACTTGTTGTTTTGTTATTGCAGCCAAATGTCAGTAGAAAATTAGTGAACCCCCTACATATTTCTCACAAATTCAGCCAAATGTGGGAAAACAACTCCCTAAAACCACAACCCAATTAAGTATCTACTAAATAGTAATAATAACTAAAATGATGATTGGGTGTGCAATGGCGTCTGTTTGATCTGGCAAACTGCTATGACCTCGAACAATGAGTCAAGTCTGAAGTCCGTTTAATCTCAGCTGTTGAATAGCAGCGTTTGGACACTAATCGTTGCTTCATCGGTGAAACGGTAGCAGGCAGAACGGAGGGGAAATTAGTTTCCACGGGAGAGCAAAAATTATAATTCAGTAAATAAATAATCAGTTAATTGACACATGAGCGAATAACCACGTTACAGATTCCGTCTTTCTCCCAAGGTTCATCGCGAGTTCAGGTGATTAACCCAATTAAGAACGCATTGCGCGTGCGCGCCGGTCCGAGAATAAAAGAACGGAGATAAGTGGACATATAGCCGTGGTTAACTCAATAAAAACCCTTCGGATGGCTGCAAAACGCCCTCTAAAATCCTCTCAAATCAATAGAATTCCACCTGATTCCTCGCGGCACGGAGACGGTTAACGCAGAACAGTGGCAACACAACATGCTTCCCTCCGCAAAATCCGCGCGCACAAGACTCCGAAATTCATTTATATTTAATCAACAAAGAAAGATAAAAGGAGAAAGGATCAGGGAGAAACAATAAAAGAAATCTGTGCGTTAGCAAGAAAGAACCCCCCCCCTTCAAGTCCGTCCATTTTTCTTCACGGCAATGACTCAAGCTCAACGCAGGCGACTGGGAGGGAGAGAGAGCTGTGAGGGGGGAGGAGGGGGGGGCTAAAAGGAAGGAAGGGTAGGGAAAGGGGGGCGGTGGTGAGAAAGAAATGCGCGGGGCGGGGGGAATTGGTTGTGCTCGGGGTGAACGCGAGGTCAGCGCATCTCACCAATATCAAAATGTGTACCGGGGACGCGCGCAGTGACACGCCTCACCCGTCAAACAAAGAGTGCGCCAAAGTGGTAGATTAATTTGAAAAGTCCGTACAACACTTAACGCCTTAAAGCGCCCACAGTCTCCACACGGCAGCCCGGCTCGCTCTCCCCCAGCCCCGCTACTGCTGCCGTTCCGTGACACCGGGAAGTGCACGGAATGGCTTCCAGTAGTGGGTGGGGGTGAGCGGGTTCTCCTTTCTCGTTTAACGCCCATTTGGTTGTTTTTGTATTTTCGTATTTGCGCACCAGAACGCTCCGGCGTTGGCGCCGCAACGCGCCGCTGTCGTATTGTCTCTGCGGTTGTTCTTTACGATGAACCACCGTTCAAATCGTCCCCAAAAAATAACTTATTATATTATATCACTGCGCGATTCTGAGCGACGCGGTTCCGATAAAGTCTTGTTTACACTCGACAGGAGGACCGGGCTGAGCGCGTCTTTGGGCGCGTGCGTGCGCGTGAGCGGGGTTGTCTACGGAAATAATAGCGACTTTTTTCTCCCTTTTTCTTTTTTTTTTTAAAGATACCACGTAGAAAGCCGAAGAGGTCAACAAACCTGTAGCGTCGGGAGGAAGAGAGGGAAGCAGAACGGAGGCGCGATGCTAAATGCGATGCGTCTGTGTGCGCAGGGAGAGAAAGCCACAAAGCAGAAGACTGAGTGGAACACATGCTGCCCATTTGTTGGAGATGAAACGAAGAAGAAGAAGAAGAAGGAAACAAAAAAACACCGACGACGAGGAGGAAATTAAATGGTTGAACTTGTGATATGATGGCAACACCGGGAAGGACATCCGCGAGCTACAGAAGAGTGAGTACAAACAAACAGGAACGGGCTTGTATGAGGAAGCCACCTCATTTACATATACGTGGGTGCGTGTCTAGGTGCGTGTGCGTGTGTCAACTTTGTTAATGCTATACCATGTGTGTGAGGCAGGTGCTTTGCCCATGCTGGGAGGAAGAGGAAGACCACGTGTTGCAGTAAACTGCAGCAGCACCCCCTCATCCTCCTCTTCATCCTCTGTCGCTCGTCTTCGTCAGAATATATTTTGATCCTAAAGGCGCTGCACGGCTCGCTGTGATCGTGTAAACTGTTCGGGTTTTCTCTCTGCACGCACCACGTCCTTGGCTGTCATCGTCACGCCGTACGAGCCTAATTAATTCACCTGAGGATGTGTGACGTCAGGGGGCACTACGGACATTTTGGCAATATTGTAGGTTTTGCACTGTCGTCCTCATGTTGGAACCAGACACTAGCTTTACTTATATTATTACCGATAAATAGATGGACGGACAGAGATGACTTTATAGATAACCTCATCAAGCTTAGATTCACCCCCCAACTGTAACATATCACTAACACGGCTTGTGGGGTGAAAGCGAGGTCGTGGTCAGTGGGAGGCCAAAGGTCGTGGACAACTTTCTCTACCATAGCCTTACATTCAAATTAAATAGAACATAGCAGGCAGCTAAATTGTTCAATGTGGTCTAACGTATGTATTTTAGTTCTGTGCCTGTGAATAACGGTATTCTAAAAAATAACTACGAATAAATTAATTTGTCATGTTCCACGATTTGCATAATTTCTCTGCAGAAAAAAAGAACAACGTATGTATGAACTGATCATTTTCTTTTGAGGGATTTCGCTGATTGACGGACTTGTGGCTTTCTGCTAGCTTAACGGAACCCGCGGTCCATCCCGCATGGCTGCCGACACTACAAGCCCAGTGGTTTCAGCTGTTGATTTTTGATCATGAGGTGGAGCGTTTGCTACTCTTTCGTCTATAGCCGAGCTAATACCGCTCACATTTGCTTCCAATGTGCTACTGGTTCATGTTTAGAGGTTTAGTGTGCCTCACTTTGGCAGCCAAAATGAACAGTTGTGGATGCAGCCATTGTTAACGCAGTGTCGCGACCTGCAGAACGGGAAGGTAGAGTTATAGTTGCACTGTAATAAATGCGTTAGGACGTTTTGAAGATGTCAGCGGCACAATGGAGTTATTTTCGATTTTATTAAGGAAAAGGAACCAGCGGCATTATCTGTTGATGTTGTAGCAGCGCAGTTTGCGGGATTGTGAATGTATTCATTCTGAAATATATAAAGGCCGTGTTTGTATGTGTAACCGTATTAACGTTGTAGGACAACTAATCCTTTTTTTATTCCAATTTAATTTGTTTTTAAATGCTTGGCCGATCTCATTCAGACTATAGGCCTATTTCTATCAAGTCTATTTTACTTTACTAAACTGAGTCTGCCATATTGAGGGAAACACCGGTTCATTATTTCTCTCCTGTCTGATAGACTTTGCATGACAATAACCAAGAAAATGGTCCTCGATTTATTTTTCAAACTGCACAAAAGGGCAAAAACGCATTTCTCTTCTTCTTTGTTGGCCTTGCAGCTTTTTCACTTCGGTAATATTTCAGAACATTGACATGTGGGTCCCTGCAAATAATGGCAGTTTAACCCTTCTACAAGTTCCATTTAAGGCCCGCCGTTGGAATATAATTATACAAAAAACACACGGCTTCTTTAAAGGCTGCAGGAAACGACGATATTTCAGCTGAGGAACAAGCTTTTACCGGATTGAGTCCTTACTATTTACCATTTCTTTATGAAAAGAACAAGGGCCAAATACAGAACGGAATTTTACCTCAGTAGTTACCGTAAATCCACCCAGGGGCCGAGTACAATTGTAGCAGAAGAAGTAAACGCAGAAAGCGGCGGCTCGGTGGTTTATTTCTACAGCCTGGGATTTGGCTGAGTGTGTTAGCGAGCTGTTGATGGGACGAACTTGTTATACGGTCGTAAATTGTGAGTGTGACTGTGAAGTTATTTATTCACAGCGGCTCACCCCCTGAACATTGATCCCCCCCCTTTCAGTTTGAGATTGCTGATGTTTGCGCTGGAAACAGAACTATACCCTGCAATAATACGCAGATTTCTAAACCCAGATGTACTGATATTTTACTATTACTCTTCTTAAATGACCCCCAACCCCACTCTAAAATGTCAACTATCGCATTTTTATTTTGTGCTCTCGAAGCTCACCCCAGTTATTCTGCCTTGGGTGTGTGTACTGCGCTTTCTAATTCTTAATGATACTCAGGCCAGCAGAATAGTGCTGTTTTAATTCACTTGAATGAACCATCATGTGTTACTTATTTAAACGCAAACAGTTGTATTTAGCGGTATCAGAGCACCTTGTTTCATTCCATGTCACATGTTGCACTGTGTCTACGTGTGGTGGGGAAACCAGTTATTCCCGTATCTTTCAAATCGTCTTTCGTTGAGTGTTGTGTGTGCGTGTGTGTGTGTGTGTGTGTGTGTGTGTGTGTGTGTGTGTGCGTGTGTGTGTGTGTGTGTGAGTGTGTGTGTGTGTGTGTGTGTGTGTGTGTGTGTGTGTGTGTGTGTGTGTGTGTGTGTGTGAGAGAAGGGGGTCTCCTGGCAGCGCTTTGACCTCTACCTGCAGCAGGAAACAATGGGGCCTCCCCATGAATGCTTACTGCTGACAAACTTGACAGAGGGCCGGGAAGTGCCACAGTCTGACTTAACACAACTTGATCGATACCTGAGATGCCCCGTTGGCAACAAAAAAAAAAGGAAAAAGAAAGAAATTGGGAGGTCAAGGTGACAGAAACACGCCCACACCTGGGAGAAATCACAACGAAATTGAGACGAGACTCTGGATTGAATAGGCGCTCGAAAAAACAAAACACTGAACAAGAGAAAAAAGCCGGTGTCACAGAATTAATGTGTGAGATGCATAGTGGAAAATATAGCATTCAAAATGCAACAGGAAAGCACAAATCCACACACAGCATATCATTTCTGTCATGGGAATTGATTGTATTTTGCATTGTTCATTCTGCACACATAACATCCGTTGTAGTCTGTCCATCCCGGGAGGGGGATTTCTCCTCTGACGTTCTCCCTAAGGTTTCTTCCCGTTTTTCCCCATGAAAGGCTTTTCATTTTTTTGGGGAGTTTTTCCTCTGCCGATGTGAGGGTTTCAGGACACAGGATGGATGTGTACAGACTGTAAAGCCCTCTGAGCCAAATTTGTAACTGGCGATTTTGGGCTATACAAAATTTAATTAATTGAATTGAATATCAGTATGATGGAAAGGCCACAAAAATAATGTAAAATAATAATAAAGGAAATAAATAAATGAACATTTTTAAAGGTTTTCTAAAATAAATAAATATACATTTTCATATATGTATACAATACATATATTACATTTGCAATTACATGAACACACATTTAAATTAAACTTGCATATACTTACATTTTAATATTAGCCCTCCTTTTTATTACTTTATAAGAGGTTCGAGGATGGACCGTTCTTCATCCTGCGTAGTGAAGGAACATTTATTCATGTATTCATTGGTCCATCCATTTTCCAGTTGAATCAGTCAGAACCATTTTTGATAGAACAGTGTTCCAAACGATCTGTCTTTGTCTTTCTTTCATTAAATCAAATCGTATCCATTCGGTTAGAGCGCTGCACCGTTGGAGCTGCCAAGATGTTCTTTTCTTTTTTTCCTCTTCTGTTTGTTTACAACTCTCTATGTGGTTGGATGTAAAGTTAAAGGGATATTTTGATTCTGGGTGAAAAACGGAGGAGCAAACGACTTAATTGGGCAAATAAATATTCAAATTGATTAAAGAAAATGAGATGCTTGTTGTTATGAAGCCTAGAAACATGATGTTTCATTCCTTTGGCATTTACCATATACATTTTTATTGTTTTCGTTATTATAACAGCTAAACAATATTACCAATGCGTATTATATGAGAACAAGGAGCATGTTCCTACAAATGTATTTTATTTCCCATATCTTATTTTATTTGCCAGTCAGTTCCTCGTCACCCTGTTGACTCCCGAGAAGTGTTACAACATTATAACATGATTGTATAGATCCCCATCAGCGGCAAGAGGGTCAGCGGGAGTCGGGAACAGTAGAGGTGGATGGAAATATTCCAGTGGCTTTGGCAGGGGGATTTTTATGAAAGCAATAAAAGTCCATCCACGGTGTAACCCTCGTGCCTCCAGAGAGGCGCTGTCTTCTATATCTACCCTGTAGATCCGGATTTGTGTAGAAATCATTAAAATAATCACAAATTCGCTTCTAGGGGAGTATATAGTGGATTTATACACGTCGGCAGCGATGGATCCAACGCCGGGAGGAGCAGCCTTTGAGCGGTTGTAGCGCCGGATGGATCGCTTCTCTACACGTGAAGCTTTCAAAAGTGGAACTGTACAGGTTCATAAAAACGTATTTTTCACGAATTTGTGACCTGCACGAATGAATTCATTTCAGGCCTCCATTACTGGTTTATTTTGACACGGTGATCGCCTCCACTTTAATGTACACTCAATCGAGACATCTATATCTTTATATATTTCGATCGTGTGTTTTTTTGCAGTTTTAAATGCCGCTTTCAGGTTGAATTGAACTCTTTTGTATTCATTATTTGTCCAGGTGAAAAATGATTGTCCGCTTTATAAAAAGGGGGTTGGTGTGAGAGGGAGGGGGTAAGATTTCGATTTAGAGACGGTCACTTTTCTCCAAACAAAGGACTTAGATATCTCCATCATTTTGCCTGTGTGTGTGTGTGTGTGTGTGTGTGTGTGTGTGTGCACCTTCAGTCCCACTGATAACCCCATAGACAGTGTCCTTTTTAATACAAAGAACACATATTTTTCTTCACATTTTATGCGTCTGTGTCGGATTATATAAGATCTTGGACGCGTGCTAAAAGTTTCTCTGTAAAACGTGTTACATAATGCTGGGAAATGTTGGGATTTCCGAGCGCCCTCGCTTTGCGCAGTGCAGGTTCAAGTTTCATTGTGTTCATTGAGTCTATTCGTGGCAATGAGAAAGTGGTCTGCATGTCGGCGCTATACAGACGTGTATTAGAGTGTAAGGGGGGAGGGTGGGGGGCAAGGCTATAAAAGTCAGCTAGTAGGAGCTCGTGACGGTTGAGGAGATGACTCCCCCTGCAGCATACCTGGCCGTTCATGCCAGGCAAAGGGCGCACTGGGTGCTGAGGGATGAGGGGGGACACAATGGAAGCACAGAGCCAGCCCGTGCTGGGCTGTCTTGCTCTCATCAAGCAAAGGTCTCCGTGAGATTTAGTAGGCCCGTGTAACCTGAATTAGTTGATGCATTTTTAATCGATCCTAAACAAGCGAGATTTTTCTGACGCAGTGCTGGGTGGCGGCGAAGCACCCACGCCCCCCCCCCCCTCCGCTTTATTAGCGATTTAAAAGAAGAAGAAGAACGTCTACAAACACACACACATACATTTTACTCCAAGGGTAGTGCAGGCAACACGTTATATCCCCCCGAGCACTTTCCGCGGCTTCTTTCTTCTCTCCTTTTGGAGTCCCAGCCGGACGCGTAACAGGGGGAATGGGTTCATGACTTGTCATCTGTACTGTACTCTTATTGGGCGTAGAGACGCACGCGCTTCTGTGTGGTTTCCAGCTCGAGCAAGAATGTGTTTTCGGCACGTCGGACGCGCTTCTGTGGTTGTTGTGATCCTCTAGTTGCTTTAGAGCGGCATGCGCGCTGACATGTGGTGGAGGGGAGCGCGGGGGGGGGGCGCAGAGGGGACGATGTCAGGGAGGCTATGAATGCCCGCAAACGTAGGCCATATGATGATGCGCGTGCAGAGTCCGTGTATATGCTTAATCCCATTTCCTTATCCGGGGTTCATCCTTGAGGCGCACCATTGGCCGGCCACTCTCACGTGGTTTACTAACTTTGTTCACTTGACAGAAAAGTAGGAGGGTTCAACGGAACATGAATAACCGAAGAGAAAAGGGATGAGATATAAATTGTAGTTATATATTTTCCGAGTAGGTGCAATTCCACAAAAATACTGACATTAATTGCCATGAGCTCCTATTTGATCAACTCCAACTATGTGGACCCGAAGTTTCCCCCGTGCGAGGAGTATTCACAGAGCGACTATCTGCCCAGCCACTCTCCGGACTACTACAGCTCCCAAAGGCAGGAGGCTGCCGCCGCCTTTCAACCGGACTCCCTCTACCACCACCAGCACCACCCGCGGCACCAGAACCACCCCCAGCAGCACGGAGAACCACCGTACACGCCGTGCCAGCGTCCGGGGCAGCCCGCTTCGGTGGTGATGTCCCCGCGGGGTCACGTCCTCCCCGCGGCCGGGCTGCAGACGTCCGCCGTCCCCGAGCTGAACCACCGCTGCAACTCGGTGACGCCCAGCCCGCCGCCGCCCGCCGCCACTATCGGCCAAACGCCCCACGGCCACGACACGTCGTCCCCGACGAGCGCCAAGAACCCCGTCGTCTATCCGTGGATGAAAAAAGTCCATGTAAACATCGGTGAGTGCTACATGCCAACTTCTTCCTCCCTCTCCCCTCCCTCTCTCTCGCTGCGCCTTTGTGCCCGCCATGCAGTCCGCGAGGTGTCTCGCGTCTTGGGTCTCCGGCATCCCCTCCCCGTTTTCCGCTACAAGTAAAAAGAGAGTAGCCCTTGGGTCAAGATTTACGATCGTCTGTTTGCAGGGCCAATATAATTACACCCTCCATAAATTTTTATTACGCTTCTCCGCCGACGTGCTTTTTGAAGTCCGATCCCCGTCTGGTCGTCTCTAATTCCTCCGCCTTATGACAACTCAGACAGAGCCCTTAAGTTAGCGTTTATGCTTTGGTAATTTGATTTTAAGTGGTTGGCTTGTATAAACGGTGTGCTTTACTCTGTCGAGCCTTTCTTCCCTCCTCGTTGTTCCAGGAGAGGGGAAGTTTTATGGCAGCTGAAATATTCATGTTTATAGAGCCGTCCATAAATACGCTAATGTAAAAGCGAATAGCGCCAGTCTATTACGGCTCCTCGCTGTAACCTCCTAATAGACTTGCTGCATATGCGCGTTGGGACGTCTGGAGTTCGCCAGCACGACAATTTAACACCAACAACAACAACAACAACACTACACCCAATGCGACTTTTGTAGAGTCACCGTGATATGTTTACTGCACCGTTTATTTTAGCTGTGAACAAACAGATGTTGGATCGCATCTAAGTTTTGGTATTTCTTAAGTCATCACCCACTCGGCCATTCGGTTTCGTTATGTAGCTTCTCCACCACCGCCCCACCCGCCCCACCGTGTCCCCTTCACCAACAGCTGCCCCACTACCTTTATTCTCAATCAGTTTATATGAGGCAGACAGGCATCGTAGCCATTTTTTTTCCGGGCATTTGAGCATCCGAACTGGGGAATAGAAACGTTCAGCCAAGTGGAAGGTTTTTGCTTTAAAAAAAAGAGACAAACCCAGATATCGCTCTTAAATTATAACATCTGGACACCGGCTTCAGGCTGGATGAGAGGATCCACGCCGCTGAAGGTCTGCAGTGACACCTGACAACGTGCGCGCGCACTTAAAACGTAAACCCTATAGTGTCAGACAAACGGGTTCCGCTGTTACAGCTGCGCTTGTGAGCGCCGCCAAACGGATTTGTTGGGAGGGATGGGAGTAATTTGAGGGTGTGCAGGGCTACAGCCATTTTGTATTCCATCAGCAGTTGGCCGTGGATTTATTTATCCTCATGGCAGGCTCCCAATGCACTAACGTGTTTATTTCTCCACGGGGCTGGATGTGCTCTTCAGACGACACCGCCGCACATCTGGGCTGCGTCTTCTTAAACGAGCGCTCCGTTACAAAACAATACTAATGTTGCCATATGTTTTTAAAGTAGAATATTCTTACAGTAATGTGGCACTATTATAATATCGTGGAAACTACCGGCATTGCTATTATGAACGTCGGCGATATTTTGGCAGTGGATTGTAATGATTTCTTTTTTCTAGGAGTAGTTCATGATGTGATGGTCGTATTTCTATCGTTGTCCCACAGTAAACTCGAACTTCACAGGCGGTGAGCCGAAGCGCTCGCGGACGGCCTACACGCGCCAGCAGGTCCTGGAGCTCGAGAAGGAGTTCCACTACAACCGGTACCTGACGCGCAGGCGCAGGGTGGAGATCGCCCACACGCTTTGCCTGTCGGAGCGGCAGATCAAGATCTGGTTCCAGAACCGCCGGATGAAATGGAAGAAGGATCACAAGCTGCCCAACACCAAGGTCCGCTCCGGGACCAACAACAACAATACAAACTCCCAGGCTCTGACCGGCTCGCAGAACCGCGTCGGGCCCCTATAGCCCGTTTCGCAGTCTCTCTCACTCTTATGGTTTGCCCTCTCCGTGCTCCCAAAATGAAGGCCGAAGAGGCCGTCGCGCTTGGCACCGGAGCCCGCACTTTGGAACGGAATAACTCTGGAAGGATGGAGGGGTGGTGTGTTTGTGTGTGTGTGTGTGAGCGAGAGTGTGTGTGTTTGTGGGGGCGGGGGTGTTACTGCCGCTTGTTCGGCCTTGATTTTTGGCAAGGTAACACTCTTATCATATGACGGTACCCATTTATGAGAACACTGAAATTAACAAAAGAAGGCGAAGCAGGAGACTGAGTTCGCTTCCGTCCCCGTGGCCTCTCCGCCCCCCCTGCTTTTTATATGTCTGTCTTTTGTACCCCCCACCCCCTCTCTCTCCGCGGTGGCACAAAAGACGGTGTAGGCTGAGGATAACGTGTTCGCGTGCGTCTATTGGTGGGGGGAGGGAGTGGGGCAAAGATAGACCCACGTTCCATCTTGATTCATGCCGAGCTCGGGCCCCATTTGTCATGTTTACTCTGCAGGTACAAAGCAAAGGGGTGAACGTTGCTCTGCCCATTACCCAACTCCCCTCCCTAAAACCCGCCTGTGTTTTGTTTGACGACAAAATATAGCTTTTTGGGAAATTTCAATGGTAGTTATTTAATTTGTTAAATTCAGTGTTGATTGTAAAACGGTACTCTGTGCGTTTTAATTATTTTATATCGTTTTGAATGACAAGAAGCGTTTGCGTTGTCCGGTGATTGTTCGTTTCGTGATGTTACAGGGAGACAGACTGACAGGGAGAATCCATCGATACTAAGGAACGTACCGAGCAGGGTTTATGAAGCTGCCTGATCATAATGATACTAATACCCAAACCAAAGTCCTGGTACAAGCAGCGCGAGAACCCATTATAAACGCAGCACTATGATACAATGTACTACCTATTACCTCAGTTCTACTTATATAAATATATATTTTTTTTATTTCTTTGGTCATCTTATTTCCTCTCACTCGTTCAATGAAGTGACAGCTGTTTGAGCTTTTTATATTTTTGAAAATGCGCGACACATTCTTATAATAATAATAATTATTATTATGACTTGCAATACAAGCCCTTTTCAATTATTATATGTTGAATATTCAAAATACTTGATGTAATTTAATTATATTCGATTGTTCCAGTCGTGGACATTGAAAAAAATATATAGGAGCTTTTAGTTGTTGCATGAATGATTTGTCTTTTTTCCCCCTTTCTATTTATGCACGGGCACTTCCTCGATCGTCCTCGCTTCTCCTCCTCCCTCTGTTCGGTCAGCTTGTTTTTACACATATAATTCTGCAAGTTTTGTGGTTTTTCTTCTTTAATTGATGCTATTTTATTTACATTCCAAAGATCACGTTTCTTTAGTTATTGATGGTGAGAATTATCGAGATGATGGTGTTGTTGAACATGTGACCTCCTCCGGGGTGTAAGTTGCTTCTCGCTCTGCTTATGCCTCCGTGTCTACCTTCCTATTATCTGTAAATAGTTCATAGAAATTTAAATAAACGACTTAAAAGGTAAATTCTCCATACTCTGTTATTTATTCTCTTTTTAGAACTTTTAGAATATTCCCCTCTCTCTCTCTCTCTCTCTCTCTCTCTCTCTCTCTCTCTCTCTCTCTCTCTCTCTCTATATATATATATATATATATATATATATATATATATATATATATATATATATATATATATATATACGTGCACACGCAATAAATCATTTTCATTTCACTGTTAGTTTTGCGTAAAAATGCACATAAGACCTCACATAAGGTCTTCGTGAGAAATCAGCAGCCTGCGATGATTAATCTGTGCCGGCGTGGAGTGATCTTGGTACATTACGTCCTGTAATCTCGTTTCAAGTCACAAACCGTCCCTCCGTTTCACTTCGGTTCTCCCGTTAATTTAACGGCTGCTCAGACAGGCTCGCACCGATCCGACCCCCCCCCCCCCCCCACCCCCCGTCCTTCTTGTGAAAAAAACAAACATTAAATTGTTCCTTGGTTTGTGGTCTTTCAATGCTTTAATGAGTGTACATTTTGGCACAACGCAGCCCCAGCCCCCATTCCCCACTCGTCCGTATCAGTGTTTCTTCGACCGGTGCTGCGCGCGCATGTGTGTGTATTTTTTATATATATTACAAAAAAAAGGGGAGGGGCGAGCCGTGCTCCTAGGGCTCCAAACCTTGACGACATAAATATAGTCAAATCCACCAGGCGGAATGGCTTTTTTTAGTCAAAGACGGGGGCTCCGGTTTGATTTTCTATTTTCCTTTGCTTGGACCAGCGATCAAAAACATTATGCAGCAAGGAGGGAAGAGTTTGGGGGTGCTACTATTTCTTCGCGATAGATTTTAAACAAAAAAGAAAAAAAAGTGTGGCCCTCTAAATTGGTACGGTTGTATTTCTCGGCCCAGAGGCGATTCACTATTACTTTTTGTAAAAAGACTCTCATTTATCTGTTTTCTCTGCAAAACGCCGCCACCTCCATCCGACTGTGACACCGCAATTTGCTTGAGCGTGCACACGCACACTGCGCAATTGTTTCAAAAGGACTCACCCTCCGTGCACCTATGATCCCTGTTATATTAGTGCCACATGGAATTTAAATGTTTGATTTACTTATATATAAAAAACAAACCGTCCTTCACTCAAGTCTTCCAACCCCCCCTTGCAAGAACACACACATGCGCCTCCCCAACTGCCCATAAAGCCCCTTAACGCGGTCCAAATGGAAATTAATGAATTTGCGTTCCAGGGGACAGCGCGCACAATAAACGTCCACCGTGGAATCTGTACTCTTTCTTAGCCTCCTTTATCAGCAGAGGCCTTCTGCCATTGCTGTGAATGGGCGAGGATCTTCTGTGAGGCTGCCCTCCCCCACCTCCCTCAACCCTTAAAAAAAGTTCACCGCCATTATTTGCCAGACAGCAGGGGACGGCACCTCAAGAAAAATGCGAGAATTATACAAGAAGGGGAAAAAAAAACATTAATCACATGTTCTTCTTTAAACACTTATCCTTCTTCTTCTCTATTGTCATCAGTCAGCCAAACACAGGACCCCTTCTGCCAGGAGAGAGAGACAGAGGGCAGAGGAACAGAGAGACAGACAAGGGAGGAGAAAAAAGACGTTTTGGAAGACAGTTGGAAGACCACCCCCTCTTCCTTCTCCCCCTCCCTCACACACAAGTACACCCCCACACACGCGCACACACGCACGCACGCACACACACACACACACACACACACACACACACACACACACACAACCATACACAGTCAAGCACACGCGTCCCTTTACGAAACATCGGAAAGCTATTTTGACACCCCACAAGTATCCAACTATAAGAACGAAAAAAACTCCCAAGAAATCCCCTCGAGCCAGTCAGAGAGACTCCACGCGGCGGAAGAGAAGATGGACCACAGGTCCACGGCAGTGCTGGTAAGAGGCCTGGAAACTTTATTTGGTCTCACTCCTTTGCTTTATTTTGGCCCGCTTGGTGTTTTATGGTTGTATTGCCCCCCCTGCCCATTTGGGCAGGTGAGGCTGAGGCTTTTATTGCCGTGTGGTGCTTTGAATTTTAGAGCATGGGACTTTTGGAGTTGCGTGTTTGTGTTGGAAGGTGTGTGTGTGTGTGTGTGTGTGTGTGTGTGTGTGTGTGTGCGTGTGTGTGTGTGTGTGTGTGTGTGAGAGAGAGAGAGAGAGAGAGAGAGAGAGAGAGAGAGAGTTTACATGGAGCTTATATGCAGCTGCAAATGCTTGTGTTTTCTCGCTGAGTTTGTTGAACTGTTTTTTTTTTCGAAGATGCATCTCGATCTGTTGTTGTGCGTAACGCATGCGTCCTTTGCGCACGGGATTTGGGTTAATAGAAAGCTTTATGGATTTTAAGCTCATGTAGAGTTGACTTCACGTGGTTTAAAGGCAAGGGTTGGATGTAATATATAGCGCAGTTCCGAAAACACTCGAGCTATGACATAGTTGCCCGCGTGAACAACCGGAGGTTATTACGCTTTGGTTTTAGCTGTGTTTCCCTGTCGTACTGAAATTGAAAAACATACAATCTCGAAGGCTCTTTTACCAATAAGCAGCGAACGATCGCAGGTCCCGTACTCCGGTGGCAGGCAAGCAGCCTTTACGAAGCACACTCACTCCTTCGTGACCCCTGCAGAAATCAATAGCGTCCGGGATTTCCAAAAATAAAAAGCGGGGGCCTGATATGATACGTGGAGAGGTTAGAAAAACTAATGAGGGAAGTGCATAGGCGGTGGGAATCGAAAGGAAGGCGATGGAGGAGGAAGAAAATAAAATCGATGGCTGTGCCCGTACTACAAGCTGCGGCCTCAGAGGGTTCAACGAGGGGACACCTTCTTCTGACCGATGAGGTCCACTGCCTCTGAAGCCAGAAGCTGCCCCGTGATTACCCCGCTCCACACACACACACCACCCACACCCCCACCACTCCAGATCCCCCTTGACCTCGCAAGATTTTGCTACTCCCTCGGACTTACCCAAACCCACCCCCATCCCCCTCCCGCAGCCCGGATACTTAGTCATAACAGGCACTGTACCCCGGGGCAGAGAGTATCTCTGCTCCAAAAGACGGACAGCCCAACAAGTGAGCTCAGGGAAGGGGTCAGCAGCAGGTCACTGCTGACCGTCTGTTTGAGGGGGGTTGTGTTGACCAGAGCACGTTTCACTGCTCAACCCAAGCACAGGGATACCTTATTTTGTTAGCATATTACTTGCTCCCATCACAAAGATATAGTTTTGCCAATGTTGCATTTGTCAATAACTCCAACAGGCTCTTGCTGTGGGCCCTTGTGATGAGAAAGGTGATCTGACAGCGGGCAGCGGGAGAACTTGCAACTTGAGGCTGGACGTATTTGGACAGACTGGGGCTGTATGTAAACAGAGTGTCCCCTCCGGATTGTCTTGCGGTAAAACTGCTTGGCTATGTTCTTGCTCCTTTTTTTGTGGTTCCAACCATGTTTACAATTATTGAGAGGAGACTTTCACACTATGTTTGGTAGTTCATAACATAATAAAATGATTCGCATAAGATAATAATTAGAATATTGATACTAATGTAGAATGGATTATGAGCTGCCGCCACCATTATTTACCCGGATTGGCTGGATAATCTGACCTGCAGCTGGGAAAGGGTGATGTGGAAGACTGAGGCCACTGGACCTTCATTACCATTAAATGTGTCCGATACAGGATCTGCCCACTCAATTTCTACTTCATATGGTGTTGGCTCTGCAACTCCTTGAGCTGTCCATGTTTTCATTTCAGTCAGCATCCAAAGAATTATATATATATCACAAAACATCAGAGCTACAGGCTCCTTAAAGGGGAAAGAAAGAACCTCATCATGAGTCCGGAGACTAGTTGTCCTGGATATATATATATATATATATATATATATATATATATATATATATATATATATATATCCCATTTCATCTTTGCACATTTATACAGTTTGATCTGACATCACATGCGAGAGAGGTCTGCACCGCTCGCAACTGGTTATGTTTTTAATTCATTTTTTGTTTTCAACTACTTGTAGGACGCTAAATAAGTCCGCTTACAGTAAATACATTGAAAAAAAATGTATTCACAGTGAAAACCTGAGGACGAATGTGGCAGATATTCGGCAAAAGGCAAACCAGTCTCACAGCAAAACGTGTCATAGCTACGTTGTGGACCAACGGTATTCTCTGCTTTCTTAAAATATTGTGTTTTTTCTTTTTTTTGCTGAGGGAAAGTTGATAGTCACGTGATCTAGTTGCAAATGAAACGTTGTATTGTCACGCTTTCTCCCCAAAAGCGTGACAATACAACGTTGGTCCACAACGTAGCTGTTACACGTTTTGCTGTGAGACTGTAAGCGCATGCCGAACCAACACCAGCGGAGTTCCTTTTTCCGTCACTAAAATCAAATCAAACAGCTCTTATTGTCCATATTGTCTGCCCTGTTTGCCTTGTGTTTTCTGAAATGCTTGTCTGCATTGAACAGAAATAAGCAAGTAGCGTGATGAGACACGCTGAGACACCTTCAGACAGCTGGACGTCTTTGCGAGGAGACCAAATGGCAAACTCTGGTTTTCCTCATTTTGGTGTGAGGGCACGTGCCTGTTCATTGCAGTAAAACACAATCACGTGACACAAACAGAAGACGAAGGGAAACTACAGCTGCAGTTGCTTGGAACATAAATTCCAACGGACCAAATCTGATTTCTGCCCGGAGCTCGTGCAGGTTCATTCTTAAATTAAAAGTCGCGCTGCTCTGCATAAAAGGCCCACTGAGTAGAATCGACAGGTTTTTTTTTTTTACAGTTTAAGTCTCTTCCCGCCTCCACCTGTTAATACTGGTTTATTTTGTCTGATCAGAGAGGGAGATGTGCGCGTGTACATCTTAAAAACCCACTCGCATGTGAGAGAGCTGGAAGCTGGAAGCATTCCGGGTTTCACCACCACGCGTACACATGTTGCGTGTGACACACACACACGTACAGTAAGT